AAACAATTCAGATAGATATCGAAACAGAGAACTGACTTTCGTATAATATAATGTTTATTATAGGATTTTGGAGTAGAGTCCAATTCCAAAACAAGATAAGAAATTACCTTGTTGGAAAGGTAGGAAGGATCGCATACAACTTTTTTGCACTTGGCTGTTTCTCCTTCTGATGTAACACCACATACCTTGCCTTCCTCGTCGAACTCTACCTGGCATTTGACCACTTCATGTCAGGGAATTACTTACAACAACCAAAAACACAAAAGCAAGAAAAACACTCGACCAACAATTGCAACTAAAGTAACAGCAACATATAAATGAAAAAAAAATGAATGACTGACAAAGGCGAAAATAGGGTAAGAAGAAAAGCACGGGATTCATACCTTGCATTCAGGTTTATTCAGCATGTAAGTCCCACCATACACGGCACTAAGCCGAGCAAATGCCTGGTGAAATTTATGGAAATGAAAATTCAATCAGTTTTGAATTTTGAGAGGGGTGATGGAAGAGAAGAAGTATGGATTGAATCAGCTTGTGAACAATTGAACATAAAAATAATAGAAAATCAGGTGCACGGATAGGAAAGAAACACAGACCTGAGGAAGCTCCCCAAGGCCATACAAAGGGTAGATGTATGGTGATCCTCCAGCAAAACGTGCTAAAGACTCTGCATAAAGCTACAATCCAGAAGAAAAAAAATTAGTAACGGCATTTTTTTGCAAGAAAATAAAGAAAGTAAAATGAAGTAAAAAGAGTTACTTTCATCCTTTTCACAGTGTCTAATGCTGGTTCATCCAAGTAACGATCATCTCGCTGGAGAGCCAATGCATGACCGATAAAGTCAACAGTGTTATCATCAAGACCATACTTCCTGTAGGGATTTGACAATTTTAGATGTTCAAAAAGTCACAAATAACAAATCGATGCATCAAATATATAAGTAAACAAGAGCGGCATCAAAAGAGTGCAAATTTAATATGCCCTTTATAAAATATGGCTCAGCTTTATAGCATGTTATATTATCACTGTGATTTATTCTAACTAGGAAATCAAACTTAACATGGGGGCTGATTCTGCACATTGCTAAGAAAGATATCATGCTTTTCTAAGAACTACAAAACCCAAGAAAATATCATATTGAAGTACACAGCTATAATTATTGTGATGAAAATGGATTTGACATAGCCTAGCTAAAATCTTAAAAATGAACTCCCAACTCTTATTGACCAATATCACAATATAAAATATTTCAACCCTGTTTCGATAGGCTAAGATAACTCCCTAACAATCGAGAGCTGTAAAGCACAACGTCAATCCATCTTCACCTTAGACCTCTATTTCCAGAAATTATTGATGCGGATACTGCAACTATTTTTTCATAATTGTGTCCTAGATAAGCCAAGTACGGTTGCACTTTCAGAAGCCCCTCATACAGATAAGCATGCTTATAATAGATCGCAATCAATAAACTCGTTGACAAAAAGAAAGCAAGACGTAATGATGATTTTATTTTTTAATATTAGAGGGCATACGCTATGAGTTGTCTAGTTGTAACTGTTGTCAAATTCATTCCTTCATGTGTTTTAGGATCGCTTTCATTGTAATCTTGGACGTAGATGAAGAATTTCCGCGCACGCCGTTTCTCAAAGATACCCATGAGAGGAGATTTGAGGGCCTCCATGTCAGTTGCTGGCACCTTGTGAATCTATTATATTAAATTTACAACAAAAAAAAAATCAGTAAACCAAAATTATTTTGTGAAATTAGACAAAGAATCCAATGGCCTCCAAGGAACGAGGCAAAAAAATATAATAAATACAATATGATACCTTTCCTTTGTTGTACACAAAGCTGCCGTCAACAGCTTTGAAATACAAATATTTAGTGACATCAGTATGAATAAGGACCCGCACAAGAGCACCATTGGCCATAATATACTGAAAGGAATCAAGTATCATATCAAAAAACATGCAGCAGCAAAAGGAATATAGAGTATAAGCAATAAAATACAAAAAAACAAAACACCTTCGGAATCATGTCAACGTTATAATCTCTGCTTGAACCCAATTGAGGTGGAGGCTTATCGCTTCCTCTAAACCTCTTCCACAGCTGAGTGATTAAAAATTGTCCAATCAAAACATAAGACATAAGACAAATCGATTGAACATATCTTAACTGTAATGCATATCATCAATACATTCAAGTAGAAATAGACCTCTCTTTCAAATTGAATTGAGGTAATACCTGAATAAGGTTGAGTGAAGTTGACTCCCCACCATAGTAGTCATTGCGATCCATATGCAGAACCTATTTCCATACACAATAGAAAGGTTCCATGAATCAAACTTTAGGATCAAAACAAAATTTACAAAGAAAATACTACACATAACTAATTTTTCCAGACAACAGCTCATAGTTTATGTGAAAACGAGCAGAGTACACTGCGTTGGAATATCGATATCGAAACTCAACTAACATCACACATGACCTACCAAATAAACGACACGATCTAACTTCAGGTGAAGCAGAGCTGACTTCACGACAGCAAAATTTTCAGCAGAATCACTAGATCGTTTCCAAATATAATTGAACTGATTGAATACGATAATCGATAATCCGGTTCCATTCAAAACCAAAAAAAAATAAAATAAGAAACAGATCACATAAACAAACGAAGTGTTGAACCAAATCATCCATTACAGGTAACCAAAACTCAGATGAATCGGAGGAATTAAAACCTATGTCACCGCGAACTCAAAAAATAAAAAAGGCATAAACTAAACAAAAATCCGATCACCGGAAATTTCAATCCCAATACAGAAAATAAGAATTGAAATCAGAAAATGAAAAAGGGGGGAACAACCTTAAGGCCGTCGACTGATAGAAGACCGCTGAGGATGCATTCCTTCAGACCCGTACCCAGCACAATCACATCGTACTCTTCATCCATCTTCGCTGAAACTTCAAACTGTCTGAATCGACAACTGAAGTAATTGATAGATTGATTTACCCACGCAGATCAATCAGTTCGCGAGAAATAACTAGGGTTCTTCTTCTCTCCTTGATGGTCAGAGGGGGATGAGATGCTCTTTGTATGTATGTATGTATCTATCTGTCTCAATACATTTACTCATAAATCATAAATACCTAAATAAATTATATATATGTAGATCGCTGTGTGTTTTTTGTATAGAAAAAACAATAGTCAAAATAGGAAATGATTTATTTTACACTTTTACTACAGTACATTCAAATAGGTGTATAGTTTTGCATTCTCCACCCTCATTAATACCCTCAATCTCATATCACACCCTTGGAACTTATAATTATCACTTCACACCCTCTAATTTATTTAGCTTAAAAAATTTCGTTCACATTTTTCTTTATTATTTTCTCTATATATATTCTACTCCCTTAATTTATTTTTAAGAACAAATTTATATCTCATATTTGGTATGACTTCACTTCAGATCATTTAATAGTTATTTTAATGTGTAAAGGATAATTTTTGGCTTTTCTATTAAAATGAATGTTATTTACAAGGATTTTTTTGTTTGTGCAGATCCACTTTAATCAACACGTTAACGAAAATGGAATGAATGCTTGCTGGAGCTCGTTTGGCTAACTTATTTTAAACATCTGATAAGATCTTATGTCTGATAAACTGTTTTAAGAGTTGATAAGTTGTTAGGTCTTATTTTTAGATTAATTTCTAAAGTGTTTGGATGATGAGCTTATAAGTTGTTTTTACTCATTATAAGATCTTAAATAAAAATGTGTCGTATAGATGTTCTTTTTAAAGATTTTAAAAGTTCTCCAACGGCTTAATTTTTTTTTAAGATCTTTCCTAAAAAATTTACTAAGTACTTTGAAAGATATTATAAACTCTTAAGCATCTTATAAACTTTTTTTAACACCTTATAAGCTCACCATTTTAGTCTTAATATTGCTAATTCACATTGCACTATAATTATTGTACTAAGTTGTCGCCTGTGTTCGTGAGTTTTATTTTAATTTTTTGACTTAAAACTCTTTTGTGTGCACATTGCCAAAAATGACATATTTGTAGGGTACGCAGTGTTATTTTTACATTTTTAAGAAGCAAAGTGTCAAAATGAACTATTTGAAGGGGTCAAATGCATATTATCATAAAAGTAGATGGGAGAAAGGGAATATCTGATATGTTCAGGGAGAGCAAAGAATAATGAATACCTTGTTCACAAGTAAACATTGCTAATGATAGATAAATAAATGTATATTGTATACTAAGTATTTCTTATAATTTCTAACTATTTGTGAGCTCCAAGACCATAAATACTTCCCAATTAATTTTGTATTCTAGGGCAAATTGCACTTCGCCCCCTTAAAAGAATTATTTCTTTGCACTTTACTCCCTTAAAATACAAAAATGAATTGTCCCCTTCAAAATATACTACTCGATGCATTTTGCCCCAAATGTATATTTCCGGTATAAGTTTCGTGGAATTAAAGGTGCATATGTCATTTTATTTTTTTCGCTTGATATCCTCATTTCTGAGTTACTTAGGGTTCCCCAATTTACATAAGTATCTTCTCCATTTTATGAATTCGTTTTCAAATTAGACGAAATTCTCTTCCAAAATTCGACAAAAATATTCTTTGTTCTTCATAACCATCGTAAGATGGGGTGAAAAAATGTTAATTAACATTTAAAGCCTAAAAATACAACATTACCCTTACAATTTAGTCAAATCCGACAAGAATTAAACCGAAAATACCCATTTCCGGTAAAATGCACCGAATTGTATATCTTGAGAGGGGAGATTCTCGTTCTTGTATTTTGAGGGGGTGAAAATGCAAAAAGGGATTGTTTTTTTTTTTTTTTTTTTTTTGAGGGGGCGAAGCCCAATTTTCCCTTTATTTTCTTATTATTATTATCAAGTAGTTATATTTTAAATAATAATAGAAAAATAACATAATAATTCTCTAAGATCTATCGAAGCCCACATGTAAGTTGGCCCAAAAAAATATATAAAATAATTCAAATTGGACTTGGGAATAGTTTTTGACGGGCTTTATTACAGATTCAAGCCCAAATTGAGAGCAGGGTCCACCAAACGTTATTTTACCACAATACCCTCATATACGGCTACTGTTTTTAGTTGCTGTAGAACAATCATGAGAGGCTGATTTAGACATAATAGAAAATAAAACGACGGAAAACATTATTGTAAATTAATAATTAAATAAAACAAAATTAGAAAATGAAAGATGCCACATGTTCCAATTGAGATGTGTTATTCGACTGAATTCCTCAACACAATAAGATGCTCCGAACTTCGTTCTCATGCGTTGAAGTTCAAGATTGGTGCACCCGTTATGCTAATAAGAAACATCTATCAAGCTAAAGGATTGTGTAACGGGACCAAACTTCAAATTATTAGAACTAACATTCACGTTCTAAGTTGCAAAACTCTTTCCGGAAAAAATATCGGTGACATGGTGTTCATTCCTCGGATGACTTTAATACCATCTACCGGACTGCCAATTAAATTTCAGAGAAGACAGTTTCCGTTGATTGTTTCTTTTGCAATGACGATCAATAAAAGCCAAGGTCAAACTCTTTCCCATGTTGGTTTGTATCTTCCTAAGCATGTTTTCAGCCATGATCAACTATATGTTGCACTGTCCAGAGTTATGAGCAGAGGTGGCATTAAGATATTCATCAAGTTGGATTCGAGTGAACTCACCAATGTTACTAGAAATGTCGTGTACAAGGAAGTATTTCATCGAATTTGAAGGTAGAGAATATTTTCATATTTACCAATTATTATCGAATTTGAAGGTAGATAATATTTTCATATTTACCAATTATTCATGTAACATGTCTTTTTTTTAACAACTTATTCTTTGGCAGGTGTTTCTTCTCTATATAATTTCCCCCGTGCGATGTTATTTTCAATCATGTCCCTAGGATGCTCAGTGCAAATTTTATTATCTTTAAGATTTATTTTTGACGATATACTAATATTTTAATATTATTCTTATGATGTAACTATGAAGAACATGATGCTTCAATATTGCTGGTCGCTTTTTGTATTTAAATTCAATGAGCGTAATAATTTATATATGCGTAAATTTATTTTTCAGACATGTATTTCCAGTTGAAAATATGCCACCCCGTGCATCGCACGGGTGAATACTAGTTTTACTACAATACCCTCATATACGGCTACTGTTTTTAGTTGCTGTTGCACAAACATGAGAGGCTGATTTAGACATAATAGAAAATAAAACGACGGAAAACATTATTGTAAATTAATAATTAAATAAAACAAAATTAGAAAATGAAAGATGCCCCGTCTCTATCAATTATGTGTGACTTGGTGTGAGAGGAAAAGGTGCCTAAATAATCAAAAGTGGACTAACTTTAAAACATGTAATCATTTAATAATTATTTTAATAATTAATTAATACCTACATTGCCGTATAATTTTGTAAATTATACCAGAGACGTAAACAATATTAGCAGGGGTGAAAATCGGACGGAATGGATCGGAAATGTCGTTTTCGGAATTTTTCCAATTATTTTCGGAAGTTAAAAATAGGTTCCAATTTCAGTTCCAAAAAAATCGGAATTTAAAAATCCATTCCAATTTCGGAATCGGAGGAATTTCGGAATTTTCGGAAATTACATTAATTCTTAATTTTTTGTTCCAAAATCGGAAATAGTAGTAATTTTTAGCATTTTTTTCTAATATTTTTGTAATTTTTCGGCCAAATGCAATAATCCAAAACAAATGTCAATAGGATGAAATGTAAACACTTGTAAAAACAACATAAGCAGTTTATCAAAGCAAACATATTTGTTGTGAATTTTCAAAAAAAGAAAAAGTAAACACAATTCTTGCAAAACATGAATAGAAAAACAATCAAAAATACTATATATATATATATATATATATATATATATATATCGGAAATAAAATTGGATCGAAAATCGGAATGAAACAAAGTGTTACAAATTCGAATATTTTCGGATCGGAATTGGCGGAATTAGTAAATTCCGTTCCAGTTTCCATCCCTAAATATTAGGCGTGTGTGACAAACTCGACCTAACAATTGTCGAAAAAGAATTTCGAACCTCGATTAATTGACATATGATTCAAAGGTTTAATTATTGTGTTCTAATTCTTTTATGCTTATATTTTTTTGTTAATAATAATAATTTAGTGATTTGACTTGTCGAGTGATTAGTGGTAGATGATGAATATAATATATTTCATTATTTTTAATATGTTTACTTTTATACAGAAAGCAGATGCTTCATCTAAGAAAAAAGGAAAATATGAGAGAGGATAAATAAAATAAATTACTAAAAATGAAAAATAAATAAATTATATTCCTTCATTTATATAAAATAATAAGTTTATCAAAAATACACTATAATACTTTTTATTTATTCTATATATTTTTTTATAAGTTGTTTGCTTACAATCTCAAACTTTTTATAAGTTTAATGTCTAATATAAAACCCACCCCAAAATTTTTATTTCGTCAATGCAACATTTTAATATATATTAAATATTAAATAATAATAAAAAATATATATAATAATATAATAAAAGCAGAAAAAGAGAAAAAAACAAAAGAGCTGAGGAGCAAAGGACCATACACAGAAGGACAGAGGCAACCACCAACATGTTTTCTCTCTCTCCACTCATAATTATTTCGGTATATTTTCTCTCTCTATAATTTTTCTTCTTTCTAATTTTCTTCCCAAATGAAAATGTTTCTGCAATTTTTTTGATCGAACTCCATTCATCTCCATTTAATTGTTGGGAGGTAGTTGTGTTCAATAATATTTCGGGTGCTGTTTTGTTCTCTCCTTTTTTTGATCGTTTTTTTGTGCTTTCCCTTTGCCACGGTTGAGGCTATTTTATTTCTATTTGATTGATGGATATTTGATTTTTGGTAGGGATTCGTTAGTGGATCTTGTTTCTGCAATAATAGGGAGGTTTGAAGGTGGGAGGGTTTATGAGTTTTCCGATGGTTATGAAGATGGCGGAGTTCTTCACATGATTCGAGAGTGTAAGGAGGTAATATTTTTAACGAATTTTTGTAATTTCCTGATTAATTTTTGCTCTTCTGTAAAATTTTCCATCATCGTGCTTTTTGTTGATGAAAAGGGGTTTTATCTCTGAATATATTTTGTTTATCCAGTTTGCCTGTGTTTCCCTTGGCACCTGAGAAATTGGGAGTTTGATTGAAGAGCATATACTGAAGGAGATTTAAAGGAATTTCGATTCGGGATATTTTGTGGCAGAATTATCAGCTTTTATCTGATAGTTTAGTAATGGGTGAAAGTTGGGGAAATTGAGTTTTCGAAACTTTTTATTTGCTCCAAGAATGGAAACGGAAAAGGTACTTCGATTAGGAATGGAAAGCGAGACGAGTAAAATTGAAAGCCAGGGCGTAGATACCATGGAACAGCTTAAAATGGAAGAGCCTCAATGTTCAGATATTGAAACGATGGAAAAGGATGCTGTCGAGACTGGAAAATCAATGGTGGAATATGGGAATAAACACGAAACTGAGATCGAAGATTTTAGTTCGGAGAAGGGTGATGGAGGAGGAAGCCATGGGAATGTGGTTTTCTCAAGAGAAGCTCCACTCGTTATAAAGGAAGATCCTAGCATGAGTTCTTGTAGCTGTGGTGCAGAGAAACTTAAATCGAGATTGGCCGCCGCCTCTGATTCCGAACCTGGAAAAAATGGGAGGAAGCTGAGTCGACAAGATAGGATCGAGTTAGGTCGGTTGTTTCAAGGTGCTGTGAGTTCGCATGATTGGGAGCTTGCCGAGAGTCTGATCTTGTTGGCTGATCCTCAGACTTTGAATGATGCACTGTGCATTTCTTTGGATTCGATTTGGTTCTTGAGCACACAACAAGAGTTGTATGGAATCACTGGATTGATCAAGAAGATTATTTCTGATGGGGCGTACGACTTCACTCGAGCTGCTCTCAGGACTTCATTTCTTGCTTCATGTGTTTCCGCTTGTCAGAGTCGAACGATGAGTCTTGCTGACACTGTTACCGTGATGGCGCAAAGGTATAACACTTCCTTTTTTCACCAACTTCATACATGCATGTACATTTATTTTTCTTGTGTTAAAGAAAGTATGATGTGTCATATTTCAACTATGCCTCCACGATACAGAATCCATAGTTGATTGAAACTATATGCTTGTCTCTTCTCAGTAGACAGAGTTTTCTAACTTACTGTAACTTATTTGAAATTATTAGATTTACTTTAAAATATAAATGATATCTACATCTTGATTTTCATCTAGGGTATAGAATTTTAAAGTATTTAGAGCATCCGTTCTAAGGATTTTCACCCTCCCATCCAAGCAGGTTACACGAAAGGCTTCAAGAATGCAACGGAGATGAAGTCTTGAAGGCAGAAGCTGGTGCCAAGGTTCAGAAATTTACCGAGTGGGCCCTCAAATGCATAAGTTTCCATTCTCGCTGCCATGGAAATAGGGACAGAGTGGGCCATAACTCTCCTGTTGAGATCCAACTGCAGTTATCTGCTTTCAAAACCTTCCTAGATCTTGCAGGAAACCATCTTACCGGAAAGGATTTTACCGAAGCATTTGATGCAGCATGCTTTCCGCTAACTCTCTTCTCTAGTTCATTTGACCCTGGTTGGGCATCAGGTATATCAGCTACTGCAATTCAGGGATTATTGGGAATGCTTGTCGAGGGTGGAGCAGACAATGTTAACCAATGTTTTCTGGAGGCTTCACGTTTTGGTAGCACCGAACTTGTTCGCATTTTGTTGCAGGTAACAAAAACTCGTTTGACGTGCTACTTAGCAATGTTTTGGTGATTGTTATGAATAGTTTGTCAATGTTTGCAGTTTTCCTATATAATGTGGTTCTTAGCTTGATGAGAACTACTTATTCACTAAAATGTACCGCAAAGTTTGTTATCACTTATCAGCCTCATTTCGATTATCCAGTTTTGTCTAAGAGCTGTTGGTATTGTATTTGTTTTTCAGCATAAAATTGTTAAATTGTTGACCCTTGTGTGCTTATTTACAATTTGGACATGTAATATTCTATTCTCTGCTTACATTAATAATCCTTATTGTCCTAACTGTTTTCCGGCTCTTTGGTGTCAGATTGCTCAAAGGAATAGCTTGGATGTGGATGTTGACTTGGCACTAGGCTTCGCTTCACACTATTGCAAAATCGGCACTATGGAGTGCCTAGTGGAGGAGGGCAATGCATTGTCTTTCTTAGGCCCTTTAATGAGAGCCGCCGAGAGAGGGTGCATGCCAGTTGTACAGTGGTTCGTCAAACGAGGCTGCAGAGACATGGAGCTCTGCCTCGCCCTAACCGCCGCCACATCCAGCAGCCAAGTCGAGGCGGCAGCTTACCTCCTCCCACACGTCCCCCGCCACGTCCTCGCCGCTCTCAGCATCGAAATCCTCAAGGCCGCCGGTGAACGCAGCAGTGGCTCCCTCGACGGGGTGTCATTTCTCCTCCGATCGGATTTTCTGGCGGACCCCGCTGCCACCTACGCGGTGGCTGACAGCATCGCCACGTCAGACGACGAAGCGATTGCCCCCCAGCTCAGGGCTTTTCTCCGGGAGCATTGGTCGGAGGAGGCTTTCTTGGAGGGGGTGAGAGAAGGCGAGGTGCATTTTCGTAACATTGTGGAGATTATGAAATGGGGTGAGTCACCGATTTGTTTGGGGGATTTGCCGGGCCCACTTAGGGTGGCAGTGGCTTACTTGCCTTTGTATAGAGAGTGCGTTAAGGCAGGGGGACGGTTATTGTCTCAGAGGCATAGAGGGCAGCTTCTGGAAGCTTCTAGAAGGCTTGGGGGTGGGGATTTGGACGGGCCGGGACAGAAGGGAGAGTTGATGGCTGTCTTGGAACATAATCTGCCTCCATTTTTTCTCGACGAAAAATCGAAATGATTGATGGATGTTCTTTTTTTCTTCTAAATAATGAAATATTTTTAGACATGGTGAAAGATGTTAGGGTATGTCTTAGGTTGTACTTGTGTACTCCTCTGCTGCTGCTTTTGATGATGATGCAAAAAAATATACCTATGGGTGTGTTTGTAAAAGAAACTGTGCTGAAATGGTTTGGAAATCTGTTGTTCCAACTGATTTTTGAGCTTTGTTTGGTATATGAAGTTATGAGTAAGAAAGGCAAGTAAAATTATATGATAGTGTATTTACTTGTGTTCTAACTTCTAATTATTTATATTAGGCCTTGTTTGATTCCCAAGATAAGATTACTCAAGATATGAAAACTCAATTGTATTGTTCTATCACTAGAGGTTTAATTAATAATCTCCCAATTAGCCAAGATCACGTGTCATCACGGAAAAGTTGTTCAACTAATCAAGTTCAATTATTATCGACTAATCAAGTTCAATTATTTAATTAATCATGACTAATCTTACCAACCAAACAAGGCCTTAGTTTACTACTCAAAATTGTGAAGCAGGATAAAACTCAGCCTTGAAGTGAAACTAATACAAATAATTATAGACACATAACATATGCAAAGTTAGGTGAATTTTGATTAAGAAACAAAAACAAGTGTGTTACAATACTCTCTTCCAGAACATCATAGTAGAAACAAAAAGAAAAAAGAAACGCCATTTACACGTACGCATACGTCGCGTCCCGTACATTAGAAGGCATGAAAGCCAAGATCATAAGAAGGCCCAATATACATATAGGTAGGAGAAGCAGCAGAAAAGGCGGGGGCGGCAAAGGGGGCAGCACGAGGGGCAGTATCAGCAAAGACACCGTTAGGCAAACGAGGAGAATCAAAGATTCCATTGTGAAGTAACGGAATATTCTCCCTCCGTGCCCTTTTGAGAAAGAACGGGTATATTCCAATTTCCTTCTCTCGGTAGTAGTGGCTTGTATCGTCTTTCTTTGGACGATTGTCGGATTCTTGGATGTTCTTGCATCCATAATGCTGTTCAAGCCCTGATCTTGGAGATTGATAAAACCTTTCGATGATGGTGTTGGTTTTGATCTATGTTGATCGAAACTCGTTTAAATTGGCAAAATCGATCTTTCAAGCAAATGATGAACCGAAGTTGCGACAAGATGAAAATTGCCGAGAATTTACCGAGTACAATGCTATGTTAAATATCTGCAAATGCTGCCTCTCTTGATTGCTAAAACCATATGCCATTGTCCATAGAAATCCAACTGCCATTACAAACACAAGGGAAATTGTTAGATTCAAATTGCAATAAAGAAAACACAACCCTAGTTTGATTTTAGGGGAAAATCAAGAATTTTTGCTCTTAGAGTTCCAATTATCAAGGACTTCAAACATAGATCAAAATGTTTTTTTCTTTTTTTTTTTTTTTAAATTTTGTTCTGGATATCAAAATTCCCATCATGAATAGTTTCAACTAAACAAAGCAAAAAAAAGAATATATTAAAAGAAACTAAAACATAATATGATACCATGTATGCCAAGATTGACCAGTTAAAATCCCATCAAACAAACATTTGACCCCAATAATTTTTTGCAAATATTTTAATATGCAAAATTCAGCACAATAAAATTGAATTACCCACAATTATATATGTATTAAAAAAAAAAAAAAAAAAAAGCAGCCCAGATAAGAATATAGCCAAAGATTGAAAAATATATGCATAAATATACCTATAGTGTGTGTAAAGCTGTTGCAGGTTCTGCAGGCTGGGGATTTTCAATCGTGCACAAAGAAAAACAACTGGTTGTTCCCTTTTGCATTTCAATTCAAAACCCTAACACTTTCCTCCCTTCTTCTTCGATCAAGACTGATTTTTTATTTCTTCTTTCCTCTTAAAAATCCAATCTTGGAATAAATAAACAAATAATTTTTGCAATAATTACCGTTTTTTTCTACAAAATTGGGAGTCTTTTATTGCTTTTGCAGAAGGGTTTTTTTTATGAGAAAATAAATTGGGTTGAAAATGAAAGGGGAGATGTCAATTATGGTGGGTAGGGGGAGATCAGATTGCCCTTTTTAGGTTAATGAGAGAGAGATTCGGAAGCTGTATTATTATTATTTGCTGTCTTTTATTTAATGCACCATTGATGTAGAGATGCATACATCTTTGCATGTAAGTAAATAAATACTAGGTTGTAATAAGAAACCCCCCCTATGGGGGGGTGGGGTGGGTGGGTGGGGGTGGGGTGGGGGCCTGGGGGGAGGAAGAAGATGGTTGGATTCAGTGAATGGGGCTGAGTAAACAAGTGGGCGTTACTAAAACAGTGAATATAGGATGTTTGGATTTAATATTTTTTTATTTTTTTTAGGAAAAAAAATATAAAAAGATAAAAGAATTTTGAAAGGCATCATGTTCAGTTCTTCACCCTTGGACATTCTTGAAATATAATAACGGTCGTTTAAGTTTCATTACATGTATTAAAAAAAATTAATTAATGTGTATTAATTTGTGGAAAATAATAGGAATTAATTATCATTTACTTGCGAAAAAACTAAATGTTTGATATAATTTTAAATTTTTAGACATAGTGATTAACGTGGGAGGAAAAATAATTATTGCAAAAAACGATATTCTAAAATGATATATAATATGGAACGTATTTTTTATTTTTATTTTAAGTGATACTTAATTTGAAACAAATTAATTGAAAATAATTTCTCAATTTTTATCTCCTATTATTGCATATATTCACAAGTAATTAGTGGAATGGGTCATCACCAATCATACATTTTTTTTTTGTTATTTTCTTTAAAAGTCGTAGTCAAAACACAAAATACATACTTTATTTAACTAACTAGTTTGATTTTCCACGTATAATTAGTTAATTATTATTTAATACTGATCTGTGGGCTTTTTTGGAAATTATTAAGCCCATTTTAATGTCCATAAGTACGTCACATGGGCATGCACATATTTTTCTAAAATTAGGTTGGAGCCCCCACTATCTTTTAGAATGACTTTTTCACCCATTTTTTATTTTAATTTTTAATTGATTTAATTCTTCGACATAGTTAAATATCGAATTTTTATTTATATTAATGAAACACCATTACAGAAAGTATAAAAAAAAAAAAATCAAAAAAAACGATCGATACGCACGATAAATTATATTATATATTTTGACAAATTGAACCAAATTTATATTATTATTATTATTTTTTCTTTTTCACAATATTATAGAACCATCACCTAATAATTTTATTTAATAATAAACAAGTGATAATTTATAAGAGTTGTACATAAATAGATGATGGGCATGTGGTGTGATAGTGTGTGTGTGTAAGTAGATGGTGGGCCTTAATAAATTGCAATTTTGGTAATAATAAATAAATAAAAAAAATGGGAATTAGGGGGGCAAGTCATGTGCAATTTCTTACTTGATTCAATGTATTCACAATGCAACTTGTCAAAAATTATAATTCCTCGTACTTAGAACTCGAATTAATATTTATTTTAATTATATTTATTTGTTGTTAGTGGTGATTTATTCTAAATTAATTGTTGGTTATCTTTGATGTTAAGATTAAGGTCAAAAAGGTTAAACCTTTTAGCACATTGATCGATAGATACAATAATTGAGAATTAATTGGTTGAGTGTTTTTAAGTGATGTATATGGATTTGTAATGGTGTCACAAATTCATAATAATTAAGCTTAGATTCTACGCAATAATTTAAACAATTGAGTATTAACTTAGATGGTGTATTTGGTTAAGCTGTTAAAAAAAGTTTATTATACTTAATAGTTTATAAGATCTTTTAAAGTGTTTGGTAATTTAAAAAGAAAATCTAAAAAAATTAAAAGTAAGTTATTTAAGATTTATAACGAGTAAATAATTAATTTTAAAAATAATACGTAACAATTTATCATCTCTTAAAACAGTTTACCAAACGTAAAAATTTATCAGTTGTTTACAACAAGCCTAGTCAAACGGGCCGTGATGGCGAGACCACGAAAGCATTTAGCCTAGACTAATCATATAAAAATAAACTATTTGTTTGTCATATTTATGTACTATCATCTTTAAAAATAAAATAAAAATAATTAAAGTCACATATTAAGAAGAGATAAAAGTAACTAAAGTCAAAGTTTCACCACTTTCCACGTTTTTAGGTATGTGGAAATACTAATTACACATAAGCCAAGATTAGGACAAATGCAATTTGGTCCTTTTCTTATAGCTTAAAACAAAATCACATTATTAAATTAATTAATTTTTTTAATCGACCCAAAAAAATAAAATATATATATTTATATATTGGTCCATTTGTTTGCATATTTTCTTGCAAATAAATAAAATTATGATGCCCCTTCAACAACCGAAAAGGCACAACTATCATGCCCTAGGGCTCACCAACACAATCCCATCCTTTTTATTTATTTTATTTATTTAGATTCTCCTAATTAACTTCAAAATTAATTTGCAACTATTACTACTTTAAAAATAAAATACCAACTATTACATAAAATATCTAAGAAATTACTATTATAATTGCAATTGCTCAAACTTTAAGAGTAAAAAAAGATTTTCTTGAAAATAGTTGGTCAAAAAAGATTTTCAAAAGTCTATAAATTACGTTAATTCCAATAGCACGGCAGCCCATTATTCATGTACGGCACAATTACATCGAGTGGTGGTTAGCATCAAATAGTTTATTGCACAATAATCAATTCTTTCTAATTTCTATAATATAAATATATTTTCAAATTATATGAAATGTAAAATTTGCAAGTAGTTGTGTAAATGAGTTGAGCCGGCTCATGGACTCAATCAGTTTTAGTTGTTTCTAAGTTCACGATCTGACTCACGGGCTTTATATATGTATATATTAAAAAACGTTATAGATTCATGCTTTTAGTATGTATCTTTTTCGTATAAATAATTTATAGTAAAAGCAAAAAATATAGGACGAGCCAAGCTCGAGCTCGACAGACTCAGTTTCTATTGAGCTTGAGATCGAGTTCGAGCTCATCAAATGAAACCTTGGTGAGTCGGAGCTCAAGCTCGAGCTGACAAAATTTGACTCGAGATCGAGCTCCAAAAAACTAGCGAGCTCAGCTCATTTACACCCCTAATTATGAGTCTACCGACCTAAATGAAGGGATGAAGTAAAAAAAAAATGAGGAACAAATTAGAAGGTGAGATTAATAAAAGTAATTAATTTGATGAGTACGGCTACAAGTAAAGAAGTTGACATCTCCAAATTCCAATCACTATCCTTCATATACAATGCACTGCCAAACTGCACCTTTTACAAAAGCTACCATTTTTAGATGCATTGTATGGCCCATTTATTCTCTTGAATATTGAACACTATTTTTTTTTAAATAATAATAATAATAATAATAAATTATTATTATTGTTATTATTAAAAAAAGAAAAAAAAAAGCAGTCAACCTCAATTTTGACCAATTTTAGATGCGGTTTTTCCACTCAACACATAAACAGTGTGATTATCATTATATAAGCCATGTTTATTTCATTTGGGGCATTTATTAAATGTTACATTCAATGAATTTTCACCGTATTATTTTTATAGTATTAAATTAAATATTTATTATTTATTATTTTTTAATTTAATTCGATAATATTACTACTACCATTTGGCAGTGAGCAAATTTACCAACACTGCTACAATATTTGGTCTTAATTTTCAGATTTTGGGCTTTTAATTCGATTTTCTCTAATCTTGCGTTGCAGTATAAAAACTACTTATGAACACTTTATGGGCCATTTTGTAATTTCTGAAGTTAGATTCATATCTGAATTGTCTTATAATTTTCTATTATCTTCTTATCTAGGTTAATTTTATCTTGGAAAGCAAACATTCCCATATTGTTTAAAAAGGGATGATTAATCAATGCACAACATCTCAACAAATAAATAACCAATCCATAAATTTCATAATAATAATAATAACTACGAAATAAAAACTTCATATAACACACACAAATATCAATCATCCATCATAAGTTAACCACACAAATAAATGTTTACTCAGCCGCAGCAAAGTGTTTCACATAAACACTAAAATAAAATTAAAACCACACATATTTTAATTAAGTCATTTAAAATCAATCTTTCAATTCAAGTCCCCATATTTTTTATTAGGGCAAAAAACCCCCCACCAAAAACATAATCTAATTAAAAGTTTTAAACACTTCGCCCCACCAATTAGTCCTCACTCCTGCAAAAGAAATTAAATAAACATATTTAGAAAAAAATTAATAAAATAAAATTAATAATAATAATAATAATAATAACCATAAATTACAATGTAATAAGATTACCATACCTCATCATCATCTTCTTCTTCTTCTTCTCCATCTTCCTTATTCTTCTTAAGTTTAGTGGTCCCGCCTTCCTTCGAAATCGGAAGCTTCATCGCACCGAAAGGCGTGTCAACATTAATATTCCCCTTCATACTATACCCCGTTCCTTTACCTCGTATCATGTCCCAAAGGGCGGACCCACAATCCTTTGGCCTAAACGTAATCGGCACATCCACATAGCAAAACCCATTCTTCTCGATATTCGCCGACTTCTCCAGCTCAGCACCACCGATGCTGACATCGCACAGCCAAACTTCGTAATCGAGATCATTAAGCCCCAAATCAAAGTCATTCTTGTTGCCCAACTTCAAGTGAAGAGTTGCCACAGTCTCTTCGAATGAGAACTTATTGAAACGAATCTTGTCAATGTCAATCTCGGGTTTGAAAGGGATCGGAATTTCTCCGGTTTTCTCGAGAGGAATAGTGATCCTGCCCAAAACGGGCACATCCACTATTAAGTCAACCTTGACTTTGTAAGGGATTATGCTGCCTGGTTGTATATCTTCGTACGTGCTTTTTATATCATCGTATATAAGACAAACTGGTATTTTGACAGTTTCGGAGCCGTGCGCGTGTATCGTACCTGCATCTGGGATCAGCCCGGATATTAATTTTCTGCCGTCACTCTCGATTAAGTAGTTAATGTCGATTAGTGGGATCGGGATTGGATTAGGGTTCTTGATTAGGACATCTATGACTATGTCGGCCCTCTCGAGATTGATCTTCGGAATGTGGATATCTGTTACGTCTGCTGTCGGCTTTCCGAACCCGACCGTTTCCTCGATTTTTTCGCCGATGTCTTGGATGAAATCTTTGACCTTGTCCAGGAATCCACCCTTGCTTTCTTCATCCGATTTGTCAGCCATTTCTATCCAACAAGCAATAAATTGGAGTGGATTTATCAATTAATTTATCACCTTTTTCAGATGCAAAGTAGATCAAATCAAGATTTAAATTTTATAACATCGTATTTTTAAATCCAGAAAGTCAAACAGATCGAATGAGAGGTGCGGAAAACTCATCGAGATGCAGAGTTTTGGGACAGTGGTAAAAGTGCGATCAGATCACAAGGAAAAAAAAGAACAATGAAATCGTTTTCCGCCATTAGAAATCGAGATTGTTGAATTTTCACAATTGACACATTAAATTAATTCCCCTAAATTTGAAGCATACAGAAGATCATAATTCTAGATCCATAACCCAACACCACGGGATCAGTGATCCATCGTAATCCACTATTAAATAATAAACGAAAAACAAAAACAGCTGAGTAATCATGAATACGAAGATGAAAAACGACCTCTATAAATGCATACTTTAAATTAAATTAAAAAAGAAAAAAGAGAAATGAAGAATGCTGAGTTGAGCTTTACCTGCAAGAAGCGCTCAGCCAAAGATCGGAGGGAGAGAGAGATAAATCCAAGATTTTCCTCTAAGAAATAATAATCTCTTTATAAATATATAAAAAATAATACTAATAAATAATTAAAAAATATTTTGCTAAATCATTTAATGTGGATTTATAGCGGGGGTTGCCGACGGTGAATTTACACTTGTCTATTTATTTTATTTTATTATTATTATTATTACAAAATAAATTTAGCCCAATAGTAAATAAGGCCCAAAAATAGATGGGAAAAAATAATCAATAACGGAAAATAAATTGAAGCCCAATAGCAAATAAGAAAGCCTTATCAGGCCCGAAGCCCATTCATTAATATTAGGGTTTTTCTAATTACAAATGCTTATGTTCTGCCGTTATACGCAGCCCCAGCCTGAGAGAGAGAGAGAGAGAGAGAGAGAGAGAGGAGAGAGAGAGAGAGAGATCAGAATCAACCGAAAATGGTGACGTACAGGGTAAGATTAATCGTGTTTGTGTGCGCATTTCTTCGGATTTGGTTCATGTTATCAGTATTTTGAATTCGAAAATGATTGATTGATTTTTGTATATATTGTACTTGGTGCAGTTCCATCAGTACCAGGTGGTGGGGAGAGCTCTGCCGACGGAGACGGAGGAGCACCCGAAGATCTATCGTATGAAGCTTTGGGCCACCAATGAGGTTCGCGCCAAGTCCAAATTCTGGTACTGTTAATTTTCTCTTCCCATTATTTATTTATTTATTTATATCAATTTTAATTTTCAGAGATTTCAGAGAAATTTAGGTTGGAAAAATCTCTGCAATTTTACTCTTTGGAGTTTCATTCATTTGATATCACATCACGCCTTTGATATTCTATGCGCACATTTATTCTCTTCTCAAAAGTGATGCATGTTACAATAGTTATGCAGATCAAAATACATTTTGGTTTCATTGATTATAAGTTGGTTCCAGATGTTACAAATATTGTCAAAATTTTGCATGATTATAAAACGACGAGCTTGAGTACCCAAGTTTTTGAGTAGATTATATTGTTTATTGCATACTTTATCACTTGGGAGGTGTGCATTTTATTTAGTAGTGTATTTATTTATTAGAGAACACGAATAACTATTGCAAGTTTTGGGTGAGTGCAACAAGGTTTGAGTCTTGTATATTCTGGATCTTAACCATATTTTGCTATTCAATTTCTATTTTGGTTTTCGATAATCATTATAGTCTTGGCAATCTAGTGAAAAAAATCACTCTGGAATGAAATCTAACTTATTTCAATAGTCTCACCACACTAGACTTATATTGTTACAGCAACCGATTTTATGTAAACTATGAGTTTGAGGTTTATAGTTTGATAATTGTTCGTGGTTGATTTGAATTTGTGAAGGTATTTCTTGAGGAAACTTAAAAAGGTGAAGAAGAGCAACGGTCAGGTTCTTGCCATCAACGAGGTTGGTACACAGGCTTAAACATTTTTAAAAAAAATCACAATTTTCTTTTAAATATGTGATTTCATTATTACTCTTTGTGCTGTTAAATGAGGCCATAACGCAATTGATGTTATTGCAGTATGGTAGTCATATTTCATCAAGTGGCATAAACAAAACCGCACAATACTCGTTTGTGCTGATTGGGTCACAATTGTTGTAGAACAGAACTATAGGTCAATATACGAGTAACATGGTCCTAAATAGTTATCTATAACTTTTGTCACCTCCCTTTTTTGACTAGTGATATACTGTAATACGATTTCTGCCGGCGCTAAATATATCAATGTATTCATATTTTGATGCCAGCTGTGTCCGAACACACTCGAGATACATAACTACGACCTTTGCCCAAGTGTATTTTTTTTGTGCTGATTGTATTATTATCATTTCTCAACAATTTTATGATCGACTATCTAATAAATACATTTTTTGTTTGTTGACAGATTTTCGAGAAGAACCCAACGACAATCAAAAACTACGGTATCTGGCTGCGATATCAAAGTAGAACCGGCTATCACAACATGTACAAGGAGTACCGTGACACTACATTGAACGGTGCTGTTGAGCATATGTACACCGAGATGGCTTCTCGTCACAGGGTGCGTTCACACTGCATCCAGATTATCAAGACAGCCACTATTCCAGCTAAGCTTTGCAAGAGAGAGAGTACCAAGCAATTTCACAACTCGAAGATCAAGTTCCCTTTGGTGACGAGGAAGGTGAGGCCACCTACGAGGAAGCTCAAGACCACTTACAAAGCAACCAAGCCCAATTTGTTTATGTAATTTCTAGCTATCCAATTTCTCTGGATTTTTTTTAATATTTTTGTCTTGGAGAGGATTTTAATTTAATGTTGTTGAGGTAATTTTTATAACTTTTGTAGAATTTTTGTGGTTTGTTTTTGTTGGGATTCATTGACTTTTTCCTATATGGACATGTTTTTCAAGGCGTTAGTTCTCAATCAGATTATTACCGTTTATTGATATTCTATGTAATATTCTGCAATGATGCAATGTTTTATTTTTTTGAAATGAAATAAGGCCGAAAAAATTAAAAATAATTCATAAAAAAAATTAGTGTTTTGTTAGATGCTAATCTAACGGTGTACAAAGAAATTCGATATAAAGATTGATAAATAAACTAATTATGATTTAACAATTTTCACTATTTTTGTGATTTAACATATAGATTATGGTGTTGTAGAATGTAGATTATGGAAAATAAAGTTTTATTGATCAATATTAAGCATTAATGCCACTAATCCTTTTTATTTATTTATTATTATTATTAATTTTTTTTTCTGTTTTATTTATGTAATTTTCTTATCGCTCTTCTGTGGCAGTTTCCCCGGAGCTGAAAGAGGTCACAGTTTCTCTCTCATTTTTCTCATTTTCTAGGAATAAGATTTCTCGGCCATATTTTACTGTTCACGTGGTGTATTTGCATTTTTATTGGCGCATTATTTTGCAATCAGATTATGTAATTATGCTGTACTGATTTGGGTTCATCTTTCTGGTTTTTGAGCAGAGAATCAGATTTGATTCGAATTTCTCCGTCTGGTATTTTCCTTTTCCTTTTTTCCTTTGTTTTTTTCGCATTAGGTTAGGATATTCGTAATCTGATATTGGATTTTCAGAGGTGAAATTCTGATTTGGCTTTATGACATTTTTTTTTGGGATCTTTTGGGATATGATTAAATTTAAAATGCATATATTTCTTATGATTGGCAACGTGATTTTCCTTTTTTTTTGTGTGTGTGTGGGTGTGTGTGTGTGTGGGGGGGGTGTGGTGGTGGTTTGTTCTAGAATACTGATGTTTTGCGGCCTCTCAGAAAACACATTTCTACTATTTTTTGACAGGCAAATACATGAATACAATTGGCACTGACCAGAACGAAGAAAACAAAGGCTCCCTGCCTCCAGGGGCAGCTGATACATGCCAAGAATCAACGCGTTCGACTGGACAAGATGTCGAAGATGAACAATCCAGACAAGCTAGGAGCAAAATGAAGTTACCCTCAGCGGTAAATAATTTCAGTTTACTTCCTATTTTTAGCCGACTTATATAAAGCTGCAAGAAAGCATCAAGGATAATAGATTTACCATGCAAATTTTGTGTGGGATCATCCCGAATTAGAGGCAAAAATAGCTTTTGCTTATTCACGAAAGTTCTATTTTTCTGTCGGGTTCTGTTCGGATGTATACAAAAATGTTGGTTTTTATATATTCAAGTCTTAATCGTCTCTTTGGTCAGCAATGCCGCTAAATTTCGAAGAACACTCGGTTTAGTGTTCTCCTTGCAAATTAAATGCTCATCAAGAACAAAATCACTCATATAGGAGTTTGATGATAAACAAAGATGTATTAAGTCTGTGCTTTGCTATTTGCAGTCTCTCCTGGCAAACGTACCTAGCTCCTTACTTCTAGCGTACCAAAGCTTTGGAGTGGTATTTGGAGATCTGAGCACTTCACCACTCTATGTTTACAGCAACACATTTGTCGGGAAGTTGCATCACCATCAGAATCCCGAGGCAGTTTTCGGGGTGTTCTCATTAATCTTTTGGACCTTGACATTGATTCCCTTCCTCAAATATGTTGCTATAATCTTGAGTGCTGATGACAACGGTGAAGGTGTGATCGATAGTCTTTCTTAAATTATTTCGATAATCCCTTTTTTTTTTTTTTTTTATATCAGTCTCACCAAATTATTTAACTATCTCAGGTGGGACATTTGCGCTTTACTCCTTACTCTGTAGACATGGAAAATTCAACTTGCTTCCGAATCAACAAGCAGCTGATGAGGAGCTTTCATCTTACAAGTATGGTCCCTCTGGACGGTCTTCGGTATCGTTAGCATTGAGGAGATTTCTCGAGAAGCATAAAAGTTCACGGACATCATTGTTGCTTGTAGTATTACTAGGGGCTGGCATGGTAATAGGTGATGGTGTAATAAATCCTGCAATGTCAGGTATGGTTAAAATGAGTTTGAGTGAATGGTTTTTTTTTTTTTTTAAATTTTTTTTTATGTTAGCTTTATTGTCAATGTCTTCACCTAACGGAGGTGAAACCTAATTGACTTTTCAGTATATTCTTTTTTCCCGAATCACATCCCACATGGCGCCACTAACCATTTTTTCATTTAATTGCAGTACTCTCATCAGTATCAATGCTTGCATCGGCCAAAGCAAGGTTGCCTGAGGGTACGTGTATTTATATCTACATTTTGTTTCATTTGATTTGACTAAACTTTTGATTGCTGCAAGTATGTGATAATTAATACCTTCTTGTCTTGGTTTACACTGTTATGGACCTCATTGTCGAACAATCTTTACCTGTAGGTGGAGTACTATTACTTGCTTGCATCATATTGGTTGGTCTTTTTGCTTTGCAGCACTGTGGGACCCGTAAGGTCGGCCTCCTGTTTGCCCCGGTAGTTATACTCTGGTTGCTAACAATTTTTGCAGTAGGGTTGTATAACATAATATACTGGAACCCGAAAATTGTGTTTGCTCTTTCTCCACATTATATTGTCAAATTCTTTGGTCAAACTGGCAGAGACGGGTGGATTTCACTCGGTGGGGTCCTCCTATGCATAACAGGTACATATTGTCTGATTATGGATCCGTTTCTCATTTTGTCTACCTGATTCAACATACAATGCTCCTTTCTCAGTCTGTCTTAAGTGGGGATGATAAATTGTTTAACTTTTGAATTTAGTGGCTATCTTTGTGTGTCATTAGGTACCGAGGCGATGTTTGCAAATCTTGGCCATTTCACTGCATGTTCAGTTAGGGTAAGTCAATTCCTCTGTAATAAGTAGTACATTTTCATTTGTGTGTGTGAAAGAGAATGTAGGAAATAGTACATGCTTTGTAATGTGTTGTAAAAAAACTGCCTATTAGCTCCTTTTCTGATAATTTTATTTTTTTTTCCTCTGCAGCTTGCATTTGTATCCGTTGTATACCCTTGCTTAGTGGTGCAATATATGGGCCAAGCTGCGTATCTGTCAAAAAATATTTCTTCCCTTCCTTATGGCTTCTATGATTCAATTCCTGGTTAGTTGTGCTCCTAATTACGTTTAGTCGTTTATCTCAGTTATTTTGACTCTTGCCATATTAGTCCTGCATTCTTATTGATGCTGGGTTTTGGGTGCAGATGCTGTGCTTTGGCCTGTATTTATTATTGCCATCCTTGCAGCTACTGTTTCCAGCCAGTCTGTAATTTCAGCCACATTCTCTACCGTTAGGCAATGTCAAGCACTTGGTTGCTTCCCACGAGTAAAGATTGTTCACACTTCAAAACAAATCTACGGGCAGATCTATATTCCTGAGATTAATTGGATCCTCATGATTCTTACTCTTGCTGTAGCTGTTGGCTTCCACAACACAAATAAGATAGGCAACGCATACGGTGAGTCAATCAATGTGGTAAATGTTTGCACCTCTCTGTCAAAAAATTGTTTTATGACTTAATAGATTTTAGATTACAATCATCTTGAAAAAAATATACTTATTAATATCCTTACTTTTACGTTCAATTTCTCAGGCCTAGCGGCTCTCTCGATAATGTTAATTACGACTTTCCTCATGGCCTTAGTGATGGTCTTAGTCTGGCAAAAGAATGTACTACTTGCTGGTGCTTTCCTCCTTTTCTTTTGGTCCATCGAAGCTTGTTACTTGTCGGCCGCATGCATAAAAATCCCTCAGGGAGGGTGGTTCTCACTTGCACTCTCTCTCATCTTTATGGTGATAATGTTTGTGTGGCACTATGGGACCCGCAAGAAATACTCCTACGACTTGCACAACAAGGTTCCTCTGAAATGGATTCTTGGTTTAGGCCCCAGCCTCGGTATTGTTCGTGTTCCTGGCATAGGCCTCATATACTCAGAGCTGGCAACGGGAGTTCCATCGATCTTCTCGCATTTCGTGACGAATTTGCCCGCTTTTCATAATGTTTTGGTGTTCGTTTGTGTGAAATCTGTTCCAGTGCCATATGTATCACCCGAAGAACGTTTTCTCATTGGACGAGTTTGCCCCAGGCCTTATCGTATGTATAGATGCATTGTTAGATACGGGTACATGGACTTACAGGGAGATGATGGTAATTTCGAGAATATGCTGATTCAAAGTATAGCAGAGTTTATTCAAATGGAAGCTGTGGTGGAGCCTCAGTTATCGAGTCCAGACAGCTTTAGTTATGATGGGAGAATGGCGGTTATAAGCTCGGAGAATTTAAATTCCAGCTCGAATTTTGTTGTGTCCGAGGCTGGGGAAGCTAGTAATTCTGTCCAAAGTAGCAGCAAATCATCGACTCTGCAGAGTTTAAGATCGGATTATGAAGACGAGAACCCTCAGATTAGGAGGCATCAATTGAGGTTTCGAATAAGTCAAAATCATGGTATTGACCCGTCTGTGAGGGAAGAGCTGTTGGATTTGATCCAGGCGAAAGAAGCAGGTGTTGCGTATATAATGGGGCACTCTCATGTGAAGGCTAGGAGGTCGTCTTCGTTTTTGAAGAAGCTAGTGATTGATTTTGGTTATTCGTTTCTACGTAAAAACTGTAGGGGTCCTGGTGTGGGGCTTCACATTCCTCAGATAAGCCTTATTGAAGTTGGCATGATTTACCATGTCTAGAAATTTTTTGGCACTCGTTATTGAGTAGTGATTCTTTCTATGCAAAGGTAATAGTCTCTCGTGTAAGAGACACTTGCGTATTATCATCATTTTTACCGGGCGTTCTGTGTTGAAGCTTGTTTTGAAAGGTCAGTTTTATCTCAAATATCTCTCTTTTTCTCTCTCTCTCTGTGTATATATATATATATATGTATGTATATGTATGTATGTGTGAATCATCTATTTACCTTGGTGAATATTCCAGCAAGAATTTCAAAGTACTTCTTTATATTTCTTATATGTCAAATGTTTAAGAAAGTGTGAGTATAGATTTTCATTTACGACAAATATTTTTAGAGGATGGTTCCATCGGGGATAACTGCATTCCTTATAACTACAACGATTCCTCCTGAAATGATATACCCGTTTTCTTCCATGTTCCCTTCCTGCACATTCTCCTTATTTAGAATCTGCACATCGATATTAGTATTAGAGTTTTGTATAACTTCAAATGTCGTCAGCATGAAACCGATCGATGAATCTTGGAACATTACCGTAACATTTTTGCCAATTCTTGCGTTCTTGTCGATTATGGCTTTCCTTATGTGTGAACCTTCCCCAATTCCAATAGGAATACCATTGGCTTCCCCTTCATTGACACCATTCTGCAAAATTAGTCTGTTTTCTTTATTGTTGTTCGTATTACATGTAGAAGAAACGGCAGAGCCGTGTTCTTTAGGACAGAAAATGTAAAGAAAAATGCATACATGAGGATAAGTATCAGATCCCATGATTATGGAATCCTCTATTACAGCATTGTCTCCAATCCTTGTCTTCATTCCGATTACTGTCCCTTTTATCCTGCATTTCTGCATGTCGAAAGATAGAAATCACAAAAGATTAGCTAAAATTGGTCTTCGTAATTCAAGAATGAAATTTATAGTGTTCTTTACACTGAGGAAGCAACCATCTCCAATGACGGAATCGATGATGACAGCATCGGTTACAAGAGTTGGAGGGAGATGACGAGGCAATGTGTAAAGAGGACAATCTCTATCGAAGAAACTGCCACCGTTGCATGAATTTGTTGTTAGTACAAACAGGATTTCTCGGATTTGGAAATCTTTTAAAAAAGGGATTTGTAATGAAAAAAAAATCCCTTCTTTGGTTGTTAGAAGTTACCCTACTTGTATGCTTTGTTTGCCCTTCGAATGGTTTCCATACTTGCGCGGTAATACGCCTCTATGCTTCTCATATCTTCCCAATATCCGTCGAATTGATAAGCATGAATCTTCTTGTTCAAAAAAAAATAAAAAAAATGAAACTTTCAAGATTTGGCTAGTGTGTGTGTGTGTGTGTGTGTGTGTGTGTGTGTGTGTGTGTGTGTGTGTGTGTGAGGAAAAGGGAAGAAAATGTAACCTTCATTCCAAGAGAAATTGCACCAGGTATTACTTGAGTTTTCAAGTCAGTGACAGTGGGATAATATTCAGTGAGGAGCTTTATCATTACATCTCTGTTAATAACATAGATTCCCATGCTGCCTAAATTGACTGATTTGGACTTGTGAGTGGCATTCATGTCTGAATTGTGTCTAAACTCAAGAACTTGATTTTCAGCATTTATTTCGAAAATGCCGAATCCAAAATCCACACCATCCTCTCCTCTACCGAACACCGAAACAGTTATATCGGCTTCGTTTCTTCGGTGGGCATCCACAATTTTCTGATAGTCCATTTTATAAAGATGATGCCCCGGAAGAACCAAATACTCTGTTACTGGATACTCCTCAAGTACCCACAAACATTTCCTTATAGCATCTGCACTTCCCTAAAAAAACGTAACACTCATCAGTAATCTTTAAAAATATTTAAACGATTCGGGTTTTTTTTTTTTTTTTTTTTTTGGTAATAATTATTATTATTACCTGGAACCAGCCGTTGTCTTCTGGGCTTTGATAAGCTGCGATGACTTCAACGAAGCCCTCTTTGGGGAGACGTGCGCCCGAATAAGCTCTTGAAATGTGGGAATTGAGAGAAGTGGAGTTGAATTGTGTGAGTGCGTATATTTTCGTGATGTCACTGTTAATGCAGTTGCTCACAACTGCATCGATGAGTCTGTAGTTTCCTGCTATGGGAATCGCTGCTTCTGATCTCCTCTTCGTCAACGGATACAGCTTCGTGTGTGACGAAGATCCATCTCCAAACACAATCGCTGCAACACTCTGCAACACATTTTCTTGAATTTTCTCCCACATGGATAAATAAGATATTAAAAAAAAAAAAAAAAAAAAAGTTGACGTGAAAATTGTCACCTGGTTTGCTGGAGGGAAAAGGGAATTCGGGCATTCGGGTTTTTGCGAATTCTTTACCGGACAAAATCTCGACGCGGGTTTGTGGGAGAAATGCGGGATCTTGATTTTATGACAGTAGGAAGAAAGTATATGCATGGTAGTTGTGGCAGTTTGTGTATTGTAATGGAAGATTGAAATATGTTTGAATTGTTGTTATTGATCATCCATTTAATGAGGAGTGTGAGAAGGGAATAATTAGGTTTCTTCTTCTTCATGGACACAAGATAGTATCTTGTCTGACTGGTTGGTCTCTTGAGATGAAACTGCTCATCAAATTAGTATACTTCTTTTTGATACATAACTTCATTTGTCTTAAAGTTTAAAGGACAAACAAATCAATCTTAAACTTTGTCCATATTATTACCATGTTGTTTTAAGCTTTTCTTCTAAGCTTCTATTGCTTTTTTCTCCCTTTATTCTCTCATATGAGATTCTTGATGTTATATATTTATATATGTGAAACCTTCAAGATTTTTTGATATTTTTAATTTGTTTATTTATATTTTTCGTGGTTTTAAAAGGTCGGAGTAGTCGTCCCATGTTGGAAGAAAGATGAGAAGGCTTGCAGGGAAGTTTAAGTGGTGTTTGGAAGATGGGAATATAGTGAGAATGAAGTTAAGTATAATATTTACTCAGCTTTTATGTCTTACTAGTATATGTGTTCATGTTTATTTAAGAACTCCACAAGGACAATTTGTTGCTGAAACTTTTCAAATCATTTCATATAACAATAATAATATTGATATTGTAACCGTATTTTTGCAGTAACAAAAATCAATATTTTCAAAATTATTCCCAAAATTAAATTCCGATCGAAAATTGAAATCTCATTTATATTCCAGTGCCAATAAAATCAATAAATTAAGAAGGAAAAAAAAAACAGAATTTTGAGAACTCAAAATTAGTATTGTTATTCCAAAATTAGAAATTATTTGATCGAAATCGGCATAAATTGAAAATTTTCACCAAGTGAAAGGGCCATCAAACCATGTGATTCTACACACATAGTACACTTCAAACTCTTCATATGAAATCTCCATCAACTGGAACTTGAAGAAGACTAATCACTTTATTCGATGAGTTTCGATCCGAAGAAGAGCCAACGGAGCAACAAACACCACATGAGTCTCAACGAGTCAACCGGGGGGGCCGCCCCCCACCGTTTTCCAGATTTTGTCACATAATTGAGATCTCTATTTAAATTTTGAAAACGACGGTGTTGCTGATAATATTTCACCATTTCCAAATTTTACCAAGCTTTCTGCTCGAATCGAGACATCTCCCCCCGAAGGTTGTCGGCATATGCTTCTTAATATATCAAAATCTGGATCTTCTTCATCTAGTGTACCTTTCTTGGTCGTTGTTTGCAATTTTTGCAAAAAAATATGATTCGATTGAATTCACTGACCCACCTTACAATCCATTAGCCACGACATGCAGAAGCATAATCAATCGAAAGCCTCTTAGCCCACGGGCTTTGATTTGGTAACCAAGATATTGGAAACATAAGAGTGGCACACCACCTCAAATTCAGTAGGGCAACTGCGAGATAGGCCGAATCTTTGAAAATCTCGATTATCCGCGATTCAGATTCCGAGTCCTCGTCGAGAATTAGATTCTCATATTCTAACCTATTCTCTTGGAGAATATCGTCTTGTTCGGAAATCATTCTCATACTTAAGACTTGCAACGCTTCCATTGCAGTGCTCTGGAAGCCATTGTTCACGTATGCAGAAAAGACATGACTGCATGTAGAGGGATCTGGTTGGATTTTCTCTCGATGCATCTGCTCTATAATAAGCTCAATCACATCAATTTTTCCCTGAAATATTCAGTTCGAAGATACGGCAGAGTTAATCAAACAAAACACGGACTCTAATAAAAAACTATATATTAATGTAGTAGAAATTTCCTGCAGTAAATTACCATTTCACTAGCTGTTTGAAGAATAGTGTTATATAACACAAGGTCAGGTTGAGTCCCTTCTGAACAAGCCTGGTCGAGTAGTTTAAGTGCCTCGTTGAAGTCTTCAAAGTTCAACAAGATCTGACAAAAGCAAAAGACATTTCATGTGAGTTTTGATCTAAAATTGTTTTCCATTGTCATTCAGTAACTAACTCGAACTTGTCCGATCGCAAAAATGCCTGAAGGGCACATAGAAGGTAGTTTAAGAAAACGAGTACCTTTATGAGAGATGTATAAGTCACTGCATGTAGACAGAAACCATCTCGGATCATCATCGAAATCAAGGCACAAGCAGATCTATAGCATTTTATATTGCTACAGCAATCAATCATTATATTATAAGTGGCTGCATCTGGTGAGAGTCCGCACGAAATCATACTTTTGAATATCTCAATTGCCATACGACTCTAAACGAGAAAAAAAAAGGTTTGACTATTAGTACTCTTGACACGTAAGAATGCAAAACAAATACAAAAGGACCACCAAAGACTAGTAAATACTTACTTCTTTAGCCTCGACAAGCGAATGCATAACGGTGTTATAAATATGTATATCTAAATTAGTACTTCTACGTGACAACTGGTTCTCTGCAGTGTGTAAGAACTGAATCATATCCTTAATCATTCCCTCCATTCCAAGAGCTTTTAGCTGAAAAAACAAGGGCAGTGTAAATGGCTTGCCATTTTCCATTACATCCAGAAAGATCCAAGCATTGCGACCCCATTACAGAGATTTTACGTGAATCAGCGAGAAACTAATTTCTACGGCATAATTACAAAAAACTGAGAAAAAACATTTGTATTCGAATTATGCTATTAAATTACTCTAAGAGAATGCTATTGGGTATTGATGCAGCAATTTACCAGGTTTTGCATCGACAGATGACTGTGCTGGATGCCATGCCTCATCATATCCTTTTCTATGGCATTTATCCTTTTAGCAGCATCAACTTGCGACAGCACATTTCCATCCTCGTAAGGTGCGTTGACGTTGCCAAATAATGCAAACAGCAGTTCGTATGTCCTGATATCTGGCAGAATATTCATATCTTTCATTTTAGCCAATACTCCTACAGCTCGTTCAGATTGATCCTGCGTAATTGTCACGGACAATTTTAAAAGTTTGTGCGTGATCAGTAATTTGAAAAAAATAAATTTAATAGGTTTAGATTTACGCTGCAATAGTATCACAGACAATCAATTATAATTCTTTGGGCTGGGTCAATATTAAAGAGTTGCTGGATCAAATCAAACCACAGTTATTTATACCGATGTCGTATGGGCTACACTCACCAGAGTATCACACGCTTCAAGGAAAGCATTGAAAGGATAAACGTGATGACAATTTGATATTTGAGCCAGGAATGTCTCGGCCAAGTCCAGTTCTAAAGCCCTGCTGCAGCTAACCGACATGGCTGCAAGAGTTGAATCATGAGGCTTCATATTTTTCTGTTGCATGCCTTTTAGCTGCACATAAATGAAAATTGCGTGGATTATCATCTTAACAGATGCAAATAATCCGCCTAAAAAACAACTTCGTTTTAAAGACCCGTATATCTTACCACTTCCATGCCATCCTGAAAACCCTTCACAGAAACCAATGCTCTTATGAAGCCATCATATGTAGCAGATGATGGCTCCAACCCAAGATTTTGCATCTGAAAAAAAATGGATAAATTTCTTTCTCAACGATCAGCCATCTCTTTTTTTTTCAGGCATTTAATGAAAAATGTGCGATACCTGCAACATTAATTGCTCAGCCAACAAAACATTTTTCGAATCAGCACATGTATGCATGATGTCACCAAAGGACCACCTCAATAATTTCATAACTGGTGCGGAGAGAGCCTGTTCAGACAAACTTATTCCGTCAGTCCCGTGTTCTTCGCCTTCGATTTTAAATTGAACCCCTTTATCCGAGTCCCTTTCCTTGCCATAATCAGAACTAGAAGGTATGGGAGGATAACTATTCTTTCCATAATTATTCCTAGTCAATCCATCACGGAAAGGGATGGGAATGTTCACTCTTGAATCGAACAACTTTCCTTCAGCAGTTTTAGTGATGCTAAATTTATGCTGGAATGCCACATCAACCATCCGCTGTAAGGCCACATAAGCAGACTCTAAATCTCTCAACTTTGTGAAAGATCGTATAAACTTCCGAAGAGTTATGATGCTGGGAGTATTGTTGTTGAAATACTCCTTCCAAATTTCATGGATCGCTGAGAGATCCTGCTGCAAGACAGCAAGCTGAAAAGAAATAATTTAGAAATAGGGTTCTGTAAAACACAAACTAAGGACACCATTACTTCAATTTATTCCCCTTTTCAAATTCAAACTAAAAACTTATAACACCCCAACTCTGATAGTGTTTATGAATTTGAGTTTGTCCCTGCCATTTGAAACGCAGCTGTTTCTTTAGTACAATCTCAGACACTAATCAAGGGATGAAGGAGGATCTTGCATACCTTGAGAAGAATAGTGTAAGTTATATCATTTTTGCCGACCCCCTGTTTCTCCATCAAATGCAAGCATTCACCAGCATGATTTAAACTATTCATTTGGACACAGGCTTCCAACAAATCGTTGTAAACTGGCAAAGTAGGACACGTGTCTGAATTTTCTTTTTGAATGCTCAGAATATTGAATGCCTGATAAGAAGTAGACCATTAATAAGGTATTATCAAGCTCATCACGCAAAGCATCTCGTGCAATTTTTATAACCTACGGAAAAGAGTCGAATATGTCAATACCTCTTTTATATAACCACCTTTACAGAGAGATCGAATTGTGAGAAAATAACATTTTCCACTCAATTCAACATCCTCCTCCACCATAAGTTTCCAAGTTTCCATAACAAACTGCAAAAAGTAGAAGCATCTTTGTTTAATACGAAGTTTACTTTCTTGGCACCAGACTCGCGTAAACTATCCATGATAATTCTCGAGGTAACAGAAGTAAGAGAAATAACAGAAATGAAGATAAAGTCCAATGCAGAGAGGACACTACCAATGGATCAGGTGTCCTCGCACAATACTGAAGAATAGGAATGAAATCCCCAGCTTGCAGTGCTTCGTCTCTACCGCCAAGCTCAGACAGCAAAACGGAAGCTCTACTTCTCTCTCCTAAGTGAAGTGCGGTAACAATTTCCTCCTGCATTCGTCTCGCAATGGAATCCCTCGGCCGATATCCTTCATCACCAAGATTTGCCGATAGTAAAAATTTTCACTACTTTCTTTATTGTGCAGTTGAATATAACATAAAAAAATAGCTCACACACACACACACACACACACACACACACACACACACACACACACACACACACAAGCTGCTGTTACCAGTAAAAGTTCCAAAAGACCGCAATGCTTCAAGAGCGCTACCCGAATTGGTTCTCCCCTGTTAAATTTCCACATGAAGTTAAGCAAATTGAAACACAGAAAACCTCAATTTTGACCTTAAGAATATCTAATCGAAAAAAATGAAATGCAAACGGAACAACTAATTGTAATCAAATAAGCTTCCATCCTTCTCAATTTGTTCTATGAATTGAAACGGAACTTACAGTATCTGATGCTTTCCATTCCCGCAACGAATTTGTCATGCATTTCAGGCGGACAGCCAACCTATTCAATCTCAAAAAATCCATTTAAAAAAAATTAAAAAATGAATACACTTAATCGCCAACGAAGGTTGAAGGAAGCGCATCGAGAATCGACGGACTCACCTCATCATCGTAACCGCCGGAGCTTCTTTCGCCGCCGCTGCGCCGATCTTCTCCCAGTCTTTGTCAAATCAACAAACGTTTGGGCTTTTCGATCTCTACCAAAAATCATCTCTTGGGCTAATACATTTTTTATATGGGCCCGCAGATTGGCCCTCAAAGCCCATTACCAGCACAGAGAATTTAAATAATAATATAAATGACAAATTACGAGAAAATCCCTCATATTTAGGTAATTACAATCACCGCTCAATTATGTATTTATCTCATGCGTCTAATTTTATGGTGTCAAATTTATCTACTGAATGCAGAGTTTTGAGTTTTTTTATAAGATAATACTTAAGATTTCATTAAGCAAACATATAACTGTGAAATTTAATTTTTGATATATAATAATTAATAAAAGCCAATAATTGTTAAATTTAGGGAATTGCTATTTGTGTTTGAAAATTGCTATTTGCAGTTTATAACAAAACCCCCCAAAAAACCACTTTATTTCACTAAAACCCCTAAACTTCTCAAAAAAATTCAAAAACCCCCCTTAAACGCGTAAAAGCCCAACTTGGGCGCCCTGCAGTGCACGCCCAATTGTTGCGCGTGCAAGCGGCATTTGGGGCGCCCGAGTTGGGCGTCCAGTGCAAATTTTTTTCTTTTTTAAATGTTCGAACGCCCAAGATGGGCGCCCAAGGCGTGTACGAACGTCCAGAACGCCCTACAAATCGATTTGTAGGGCTTTTTAACATGAAATTGGTTCCGTAATCGATCTATCCAATGCATATTACACATAAAAGAGTCGAAATTACATTAAAAAATCGAAGCCCAATCCTTCTTCAAGCTTGATTTTGAATTTTCAAAATTTTTTTTTTTTTTGCTATTTACAGTTTGGGGGATTTTTTGATTTTTTTGAAAAGTTTTGGGGGGTTTTGTGAAAATTTGCAAATAGCAATTTTGTAACCGTAAATAACATTTCATTAAATTTAATGTTTGGTTGTAATATAGGATGATTTTGACCCAAAACTACACAAAGTGGGCTAAAGTAAAAGGGCGTTTCTATATGTGGCCTGAGGCCCAATTTATGATATCCTGGGCTTAGTAAAGACGGGATAATTACAATTTCACCCCTCAAGTTGTACCAATTTCACATTTGGTCCTTTATGTTTTAATAATTTAACTTTTTTTTATCGTTTATGTCAATTTACCGTTAATTCATCTAATGCACTCATAACCACACAATTGAATCTGTTACTACTAACGGCTAATTGACGGAAAAAACTAAAAATGTTGATTTTTTAAAATATGATGGACCAAATGTGTTTTTATATATATATATATATATATAAAATAACCGTAAAAAATAGACGTGGACAGTTCAATATTAATAGTATCCATAAATTCATGTAACATAATTGCACCAATAAATCGTACGCTTGTTGGTTTGCACATTTTAGAGAGAACTGAAATGATTTGTGCAGGCACAAATTAAACATTCAGGCACATTTTTTACCATTTCTCAAAAAACAAAAGGTTAAAAACTCAAAAACTCTCTCTACCCTTTCGATTTTCTTTCGCAAAGCCCGTGCAAATCGTCAACAAATCGGAGGTAATTTTTACGTTTTTACGATCCTCTTGTTATGTAGATTACGAATCCAAAAAAAAAACGAAAAAAATCGGACTTTGGCCTGCTCACGTGAATTTACGCGAGCACTTGGCAAGTGCTCGCGTAAATTCACGCGAGCAGGCCTTGTTAAATTTTTTTTTTTTTTTTTTTAATTGCTCGTGTGATT